CTAGGCCTAAAGAGCCGTGACGCCACTATTTCATTAATCAATATGGGCCTCGTTTCGCACACAGAGAGATATTTATGCTGTTGCAGGAAGAGGCAGGAATTGTCGGAGAAGGGACTGACGTAAAGGTAAAGGGCCTCCGGCAGAGATATGTTCGCGTGGAAGGCAGATAAGACATGCAGAAAAAGACGGGGATAAATAATAATGATCTGATTGAGATGATTATTAAAAGTTTAAAAAAAAAAAAAAAAAAAAGTATTATTATTTTATTTAGTTATATTTCTATTGATTAAAAATATATTTTCAATATGGCGGCACTGCCATAAATAAAGTTTACAAAATTTCTGATTTTAAAAAAGTACCACCATTTTTATCACATATTTAAATTCTCTATAATTTTTTATATTTTTTTTTTTTTTTTTTTTTTTTTTTTTTTTTAATTTTAGAAAAACGGGATACAAAACAATGATTCCACTCAGTGGATACGTTTTTTTTTGTAAAAATAACGCTTCAAACGTTTTCTGGCTGGTTTGCATATTATCTCGGAGTTTCAGCAGTCTTTGGGATGGTTTTGCAACTTGATGCCTCAATTGTTGTCCAGAAGTTTGTAACGTTTTAGTTCGTTACATGTCTTTTTTTATATATAATATATGATGTCTTGGCCTATCATCACCGGATTCCCTCTCGTTCAGACCGGATAGTTTATTTGACGCGTAATTTTTACGTTCCTAGTCGCCAACCCTGTTATCGTTCGACACAACCCCGTTATCGCTCTGAGGAGGCGCTGTCGCCATCGCTTCTGTCAACTCTCTCCGTGCTTAACCTCACTTTGTTTTGACGCTCTGTTGTATCCCAGCTTTTGGAAATGGTGATTATTTAAATTTTGCTGTATAATTTGAATCTGCTGCTATTTCGAGGCTACAGGTAAGATGAGTTATTACCTTTTATAGATTCGATATTATTATTGAATATTTTTAGGGTAGAGTTACGGATGTCCCAACTTGTATTTGTGTTTTGCTGGTACGTTGGCGTCCCTTTTCTTTTATCCTCCAGAATGTCACATGGAAGAAAGGACATATTGTTTGTATTATTGAGCCCTTAAGAGTATTTGAGAGGTAGTTTCATTTTGTTTATTAGACCTTGTTTGGTTTTAAACAAAATTTCATATTTTTGGATGATTTGGACTTGTCAAAGGTTACAGGTAGTGTCTTATGTACGGACATTATCTTATGTACGGATGTCCTGTGGACGAGTGTCCCCAGCAAGAATGATTTTTTCTTACATATAAGTGCCACAACGTGGATGTAGCTTGAGCACCATGCTGCTTCGTTCCCCGCTATAAGCTAGTTAGTTACGGCTGTATCAATTTATGGTGTATCATTCTGGCCCCTTTTACCAAAGGGGCCAGAATGATCTCTCTTTCCTGATACAATGATACACCATAAAATACACCACTACCGTGTTGGATGGCTGAGTACAGTGATGCGAGACCACCTCACGCTGTTACTGTATAAAGCAAGATTACATAAAGAACAGCTAAGTGTAGATTTAAGTTATAGTTTTGCATTTAACATTTAAAACATTACGATCATAAACTCTAATGCGTACATCTTAAATAATATCATACAGACCATGTTTAGTGGTTAGATTGTTAAGAATATTCATGTCGTTAGTAGTTAAAATATAATTTAGATCTTAGGTTTCATTTCATTATGTCTTGTAATAGTATTGCTTTTATGGAAAATATTATTATTAAAAAAAAAAAAAAAAAAAATATCAAATTAATTAAGTAATACTACATTTCATACACTCTCTTAAACTTTACATGTCTTTGTATTTTATCATAGTCGTTTTCATAGATATTTATTACAACTCTTACCACCACTTTCTTTTGACACCTAACCACTATATATGTTACTAGAACTCTAATGTCATAGCACCAGCAAAGGGTACCATCATCATGAATAAATATGGTCATTAGTTTTGAGTAACTTTTTCTAACTGTGTTTTCTTTCTCTGTATGCCTGGCGCCCATCATATTTTTATTTATTGTTCTTAATTAGTTTCTTTCCAGTGAAATACCTTATCCACGACTGCTCTCCGATGAAAAGCTGCCGTTCGCAGTGGTAGTTGTTTAAAACGCTACAAGTTATATTTACTCAATTTTCACACGTTGGTGATTAGCTTAACTATCTTTAAAATTCAATTTAACTTGTTCAAAAAATGCAATCTAAAATTCAAAATACTTATCATCCTATGCCGAAACTGTTGTGAAACTACAGAACAGATGCTTCCTCTCACCAGGCTTAAAAATCCCAAAAATAAAGCTAATCGTTTATGTTAATTTTAATAGTCTATTACCATTTTCTTGCCTCGGGCGGCTAGGCCATGAATAAAATGAGGAAATCGCCTGTCAAAGCCGACTCGATTTGTTTGCGACGCGCGTCGTCTGGTTGTTTTTTTTGTTCGGAGGCCTTGTCGGTGAACGGTGACGATATCACTGTGCATCGTTTAACCATTAATAAAAGAAAGAAAAAGCAGGGGTGAGGAGATAATAGAAAAAAGGATAACGAGCTATTTTTGGTTATGGTATTTTATTGTTTTAGTATAAAAATGCTGATAGGACTCAATAAATTATGAGTAAATAATATCTGATTTTTAGTTTAAGATTTATTTAGGCATATAAGACCGTAAAAAATAAGTTGATACGACAAACTACTTTTATATAATAAATCTTGGGAAAAAAATGTAGATGTAATTTATAAAACTACGGCCGACTCGTTTGCAGTAAAATATTGCAAATCACTGTTAATTAAATCCTGGCGTACTTTAGTCGCTATAACGGCATGCCTTCGTGCTATGCAGTAACTCCGCACAATTTTGTTTCAATTTATAGTGGCTAAACATGCCAATATTTTAAAATTACGTATAGCATACGGAGGAAAAGCAGCAGAGCTCAATACACCACTACAGCATAGCAAATATATTCAAACAATTTTCAGTAAATAGTTTTGTGGTGACTACAATTTGCCCATAAAAATATAATAGATTGAGTTATCTGTACTTATTTTAAGATTTTTTTTTTTTTTTTTTTTTTTTTTTTTTTTTTTTTTTTAAAAAAGAAGAAAATCTGTCAAATATCTACAATTAAAAATGACACCCGATTTGTCTGAACTAGATCCGCATTAATTTCCTTTCGTATATCATTAGGTTAAAACGGTCTGTTGACATTTCTAAATAGACCCACCTCAAACCAAAAACCTCAGCTTATACGCCAAGATTATTGCTAAACCCCTCGGATATCATTAGGTATGAAAAGTCCTCGAGGCATTCTCTATCCAGTAGATATAGAGTATCTAAGCCTCTTAATTGGAATAAATTATATCGTAAAAGGGTTAAAATAATATAATCGATTACTTTTGAAACATTGTTAAACCCTATGATTAACTTTACATATAAATTACTTTTTAGTTTGTTTAAAACAAGTTATAACTTGTGATTGTATTTCAAAATAAGCACAAGCAGCCTAGATTGATAAATTTATTGCATACCATTTCTAATTATTTAACCCTTTTTGGGTTATTTCTGTCACCACAATCGTCTAAAATATACATATAGGACATTTTATTACTGATAATGTTGATATATTTACTTCAAAATAAATAATCTAGCAAATAAACATAATTTTTAAGTATATACAGGGTGTTTCATAAAACATGTGCCATCTCTCAGGGAGATTCACTTAAAAAATAAGATTTTATTTTTTTATATCAACATAGGTCCAATTCAAGTCCAATTCTGCTTTGTTTCGTCGCTACAGGGTGTTAGAGTTTTAATATTTTTTCGATTTATTATAATTTTCTAATTATTAATTAACCGCCACTGACTTTCTATAGTTACCGAAATAGTGTAAGCAGTTTAATGCCTTTTAAAAGTTGTCCTCTTGATATTTTGTCGATTTCCGGCCTCCTTGATGGAATAAAACGTAATTTTTAACAATTTTGATATATTTTTTTTTTTTTTTTTTTTTATATTTTTTTCTTAAATTAGTTTTTTTGTAATTAAATAAAATTCTTTTTTTATTACATTGCTGTAGGTTGGACCTAATAGTAATAATAACATAATATTTAATAATAAATTAAGTAAAATATACAATTTATTAATTTTATTTTAATTTTATTAATTGTGATGATAAAATTGCGTTTATCTCATCAGGGGGGTGAAAGTCGATCAAGATTAACTTGCATTAAATGGCCTACACAAATTTGATATCAAAAGAAAAAAATCCAGTGGCGCACATATTTTTTTTTTTAAATATTCCGGTGATAACCCAAGTGCACGTCCCTGATATCGACACTTTTACAGCATTAAAATAATGTAACACACTTATAGTATTTTTTACGCTCAAAATTTCATTCAGTATCACTGCTTAAATAATAATAAATAGACTCTGTATTAAGATTTAACACCCTGTAGCTACGAAACAAAGCGACTCAGACTTATGTTTATATGAAAATAAATCTTAACCTCCCACGAGAGATGGCACATGTTTTTGAAAAGCCTCGGTTCTTAATACTCCATTGCTATGGGAACTCGCTGGAGAAGATATTCCATTTCTAGCAGTTGATTTTGCCTAATCACAGTAAATATAACTTCTCGAGTGCTTAAGGAAATAATTTATAGACGCTCGTGGTTTAAGATCGATTAGACATGCTCAATATACCCCGATTTCAGTCTCTACGATCCATTCTAATTTGTATTAAGATAACATGAAGTAATATTCACAAATTTTAATAAAAAATAACAGAAAAATCCAGTTTCCGTATCTTTCTTTTTGGGTGTATTTTGGCAGGCATGCAGCAAACGTGACTTTAACATCTGCAGGTTTGTTCACCATCTTATTTTGCTGATTTCCATTATTCTCGTTTTGTCTATAGTCCATAAAACCTTGACCAGTCTCGTAATCCTCAAATTCGGCATTCGAGCAGCAGCTTGGCACCAATTTACATAAAATCATTACAATTTTTTCTGAAAATATATGATTTTGAAGGCCCAAGTAAGTAAGTGTACAGAAAAGGGTTTAAAACACAGTTGAACAAATTCAAAGCTATAAACGAAAACCTCAAGTTCCATGCTATGCTGGCAGGTACTTCTTTTAACAAATTATAAGCATAAACAGCCAGTGAGGCATTCTGCAGCCAATAAAAGCAAAAATAAGGACAACGACTATTTTGAACGTTCTCATTTTTCTTTCCATCTGAAGATTGCGTTTCTTCATGATGGATTTGATTCTAGGAACAGGAGATCTAACGGACGTAGTAGAGATATCAGTGACTTCTTGACATCTTTCGTTTGTTACTGGTTTTCTGTGACGCCAAATAAGTAAAGCAATTTTATAGTAGAACCAGAAAAACATAGAGATGACCGGAAAGAAGAACAATACGTTTATTGAGCTGTAGTAAGACAAAATTTCGGATTTGGTATTTGACGTTCCTGAACATAAGAACACATTTTCGTTGTTTACTACCAGAGGTATATAAAAGTAAAATGTCGACATGGGATATGACATTCCTGAAATAATTTTTATGTTAGTAATATAAAAATTTATTATATTTTAGTTCTAAAATTACCTGCACAGACGAGCCATAAGGCTAACGCTCCAAGGAGGCAGTATAGTAGACCTGGATCCCATTTTTTACTAAATGCATGGATTACGTTATGGTATCTATCCAGAGCTATCACGAAAAGTGCCAAGGAACTAGCAAAATTACCCAACACTTGTCCTACTGGTAAGTAATAACATAGAAACTCACCAAAAGGCTAAAAAAATAAAATAAAACACTCCATTTAAAATATTTGATACTTTAGGTGAAAAAATAACTTAATTATTATTAAGCAGTAACTACCTAATCCAACGACATTACTTTTCGCAGCAAGAAAACAAAATCTTACTAAACAATTTCTACATTGTTGTTTCGAGCTCGATCAAACAGTCACTGTTTGATCGATCACTGTTTGATCGAACTCAAACAACAATGTAGAAAATAGTTAAATAAGATTTTTTGTTTTTGTTTAAGAAAATGACATATAAAGATTTGAATATATTAAAAATTTCATAAAGGAGAATCTTGTATTCCAATGTTATATGATGCTAGTTTTAAAGAGGCCTTTTTGTGCAGAAGATATTTTTTTTTGCTAATTAACTCAGTCAAACTGTCCTGCTGATGAAAATCAAATTCTGGAAAGCTTGACAAATTTGAAAAAAGTAGTTTTAAGCCGCCTGTGTGGTGTCAGGCTGCATCCTCAATTAAATTTTGAGGTTTTTTGTGAAATGAAAGACAATAATATACTATTCAACCAAAAAGTTACTTTCATAGATAAATCAGCATCAACATCAAAGTTATATTCTTCAAAAATTATAAATTAAATTTTTGAAGTACCAAAGTTTAACTGTTTTATATTTGTAGTATTGATAACCTCTAAGTTATTATTGCATTAAATAAATAAGTTTAGAAAAAAAGATCCAGGATTACTAGTAGCAAAGAGTACCACAGTCAGAAGATCGGATAAAGCCAGTGATATTATGCAAGTCTTTGTAAATATTTATATTTCCTAAAAAACAAAGCCAAAAATTGTTTAATGTTAAATGTTTGGCAAATAAATTACCAAGAAATCAATTTAATGGTATAAAATTTTGATTGAAAATATGAATACAAGTATATTATTATGAAAGGTTTTCTAAGCAATATGT